GTCATTATTTCTTCAAATAGGTTTTCAATATCTTGTTCTCTCTCTTGTTCTGGCACCCCCATAATTTGGATGTTGGTATGCTTAAAGTTGTCCCAGGTGCTTCTTAGACTATCTTCATATTTTTGGATTCTTTTTTCTTTTTGTTCTTCCAGTTGGGTGTTTTTTGCCTCCTTGTATTCCAAATATTTGATTTGATTCTTGGGATCCTCTAGTCTACTGTTGAATCTCTGTATATTATTCTTTATTTCAGTCATTGTATGCTTAATTTTCAACTGGTCCTTTTCCTTTTTTTTTTTTTTTGGCTTTCTCACTAAGATCCTTGAAGGTCTCAGTAAGTTCCTCGGAGGTCTCACTAAGTTCCTCTAAGGTTTTTAGAAGATTCTTGAGTAACCTTATAATTGTGGTTTTGAACTCTATATCCAGTAGTTTGCTTTCCTCCATTTCTTTCATTCATGACATGTTTCTTTGTCTCCACATTTTGGTTGTTTCCCTCTGTTGATAGAGTGGCCTTGTGTGGTAGGTGTCCTATAGGGCCCAGTCATCCTCCCCAATCACCTGAGGTAGACACTCTGGGTGTACCCCTTTGTGGGCTGTGTGCACAGTCTTGTTGTAGTTAAGTCTTGATTGCTGTTGGTATCATTGGAATTGACCTCCAGGCCAATTGGCTGTGAGGACCAGCTGTGTTTACTGGAAGGACTGCTGTGCAGGACATGCCCTTATGGGGCAGAGCTTGCTTCAGTGGTGCTTTGGTGCTCACTGAGTCTTCCCCTTGATTGTATTGCTTATGGATGTGAAGAGTTGTAATCCGGTATGATCTCACACTGACCATTGGGTACACTGGCTCTTGGATCTCCAAGGAGGTGTAAAGTCAGCCACTGCCTGAGGCCACCCAGCAGGAGCTACAGAAATATCTGAAGATTCCTCCTCTTTGTATGGGGTTTTGAAGTGCCCAGATGAGGCCCAGCTGTGAAGCAAGGCAGGCTACTGCTGCTGGGCCTTGGGCCTTCTTTTGGAAGCTCTGGGGCTCTCTGACCCAGCTGCAATTTGACAGGTTTTAAGCTGAGAAAGGACAGGACTTTCATATGCAAAAGCCGCTGTGCACAGCTTGGGTGGGGTTGTAAATTGGGTGGGGCAGGGTCTCATGAAATCACCAGGGCAGAGCAAAAAGCAATGGTTGCCAGTCAGTCCTGCATTGGAGAGGTCCCTGCATCTCCATGTCTGGATCCCCCTGTGCAGGAACAATGATCGCTGCGAGCACTTCTGAGAGAAAGCTGCCCTCGCGTCTGGCCCGATGCCAGACAGTCCAGTTTCTCCCCGTATGGGTCTGGGTCACCAGAATCTCACCTGGAACTGGAGTTCAGAGCAATCTGGAGCTTCTATCTCCCTCAAGATTGAAAAAAACAGCGCACTTGGTTGCCAGCCCATTCTGTGCACTCCTCTGCACTTCTGTACGCTCCTCTGCACTTCTGTACCTCCTACCACGAATCTCACCTGGAACTGGAGTTCAGAGCAATCGGGAGCTTCTATCTCCCTCAAGATTGAAAAAAACAACAGCGCACTTGGTTGCCAGCCCATTCTGTACGCGCCTCTGCACTTCTGTACCTCCTACCAGTCTCAATGCACTTTTTTTCTTTCCTTCTAGTTGTAGAACTTCCACTCAGCCAGCTTTCCCGTAGTTCTGGATGATAATTGTTTTGTCTTTTAGTTGTAGTTTTGATGTGGTTGTGAGAGGCGACAAGTACAGGTGTTTACCTATGCCGCCATCTTGGTTGTTCCCTAGTATTCTTACTCACCTTACTACTTAAATTAGTAAAAAGTTTATAATCATCCCCTTAAATATACTCTCAACTCTCTTGCTTCTATTTTTTTTTACTTCCTTATACTGGAAAAACACCAACAAGAGATATGCTGAATCTTAGAACTAGCTCACACTTACACCTATTTAGTTGATAGTGACTAGACAAATCCATATCTTCTAACCTCAAGTAGGTCTTAACACTGCTAATCATAGTTTATTTACTCATCAGCTTGCCTATCTAATTATTTCATATATTTCCCTTCAAAATTTACTTATTCCTTATCCTCACTCGCACTAATAACCTTACTTCTTATATCACTAAAAAAAAGTAGAAAAAAATAACTTCACTAATTCTATAATTATCATAGCTATGAAAGTATATGCATCATTGTCCATATATTCTGCCCCCATTTATGTTACTATGGATAGGATATCCATGATCCTAACAAACATTTCCACTTTTTCACTATATTCCATCCCCACCCTGCTTTACCTACTCAAGGCATCATTATAGCAGTTTTCTTTTCTCTCTCCTATATCATCAGATTTTCCTCTCTACTAAATCATTCCCCCATACATAAAACATGTGTTAGTACTTCTGTAGCTATTACATAATTTCTTTTCTGCCCTTTATAGGAAAATTCTAGAGTTGAAAATATATGTTGCCTTTAATTCTCTCCCTGTCCTCTCCTGAGCTTACATTAACCAAGCGTTCTGTCACAACACCAAGATTTTTTTCAACATCTCTGACAACAACAACATAAATGAGGCTAACACTGGCACCAAGGAGATCTATTAAGAGGCTGTTGGGCTGTGTCAAAAAATATGGAGTAAATACAGTGACTCAAGTACAACTCTAATTTATGGCCTATGAGTGATGATACAGAACTTCTAAAGTTACTATTAGGAAAGACAAATATGACCTAGTAAACTTCTTGCTTAGAAATCTCTTTTGTCCCTCAATTACTTAAAGAATTTAGCCCAATCTGTTTGCCATAGCAAAAAAGTGCCTTCACTATCTGTTTCAACTATTCTATTCTATTCTATTCTATTCTATTCTATTCTATTCTATTCTATTCTATTCTATTCTATTCTATTCTATCCTGTTCTACTCTATTCTTTTTATCACATCTAATTCCTTTTTGTATTATGCACATCATGCTCTGGAAATAATCTTTTCACCATTCCTGTCATTTTTCTTTTCAAACTGGCCCACCATTGTACAATGTGCATCCCTCTCTTCTAAATCTGATATACTTCTATTTTATTAGAGTTGGTAGGAGAAGAAATCCAAATTAGAGTCAACTTTATGTTTAAATGAGTGGGTGGTAATATATTTCATAAAATGTAACATAAAAAACAAGAAATATATGAGAAATGAATTTGTGTTAGAAACTCTATTGAGTTCAATTTTTACCACATGAATGTAAACATTTAAGATAAAAGCTAAAAAAGAGAGAATGACAGGAGAGAGAGGGAGGGAGGTAGGGAGAGAAAGAGAGAGATGAGAAAATCTGGAGATATACATTTTGAGCCATCAATGTGTATGTTTATTAAATATTTAATAAAATGTGTTAAGCAGCAATTTTGTGGAAGCCACTTTGAATACAAAGCTAAATAAGTTATAGCCTCTCTTTAAAATATGTTAGAATTATTATAGAATAATAGATGCTGGTTAAAATACTAAGAGTGAAGAATTAGGAAAGAAATGGCCAAGAACATAGGAACATACAAGTTATGAAAGGGGAGTAGATAAGATCTATATATTAGTCAGGATTCTGCAAAGAAACAGAAACAGTAGGATATATTTAGATAAGAGATTTACTATGGGAATTGGCTGAGATTTGCCGCAATCTGCCATGTGCAAATTGGAGACCCAGGAAGCCAGTGGCGTAATACAGTCCAAATCTGAAAATCAGAGA